GAAGCGGCCGGGGACAGCAGGCGGAGGCTCATTTAGCTCGTTACCGAGGCCGGGGAAGGGCGGCGCACGGCCGTGTCTCCCGCAGATTAGAAAGCTTTCAGTGCGGGCCCAGGGCCGCCTCCCTCGTTACTGCGTTAATGGCTTCCCAGAGCCCCTCCTGCCCAGCACAGCCGCAGCCTGGGGCACGGGGGGCCATGGCTCGGGCCTGACCGAGGGACTGTGCGCTTGGCTGGCAGGACTTTCCCGTGGTCCCTGCAAGCCTCGACATCTCCTGCCTGTCTCCTGAATGCTGTACCCTGGCAGCAGCACGGCCCCCACCATGAGGAAAGCCCCCACCATGAGGAAACGTTAAAGACTAACAAGATGGCCCACAAAAGCTCATCACCTAATAAACCATCTTGTTAGTCTTTAAAGCGCTACATAGTCCTGTATTTTGCTTCAGCTACTGGTCCCTGCAAGCCTCGACATCTCCTGCCTGTCTCCTGAATGCTGTACCCTGGCAGCAGCACGGCCCCCACCATGAGGAAAGCCCCCACCATGAGGAAACGTTAAAGACTAACAAGATGGCCCACAAAAGCTCATCACCTAATAAACCATCTTGTTAGTCTTTAAAGCGCTACATAGTCCTGTATTTTGCTTCAGCTACCCCAGACTAACTCAGCTACATCTCTATCACTACTCCTCAATCACAAGGCATTTTGCAAGGGTACCAGCTGTGGGCCCCAGCAGGCACCTGTGTGGCGTGGGAGTTAGCCTGGTCCCCCCGTGCTCAGGGTTAGGGTGGCTGTCTTGTGGCTGGGAATCCTGCCCCCACCAGTGTGCCCTGTAAGATGGGCGCCTGTGCGACCCACAGCCAGAAGCATGTTTCTAGCGGTGCGCATTTTCACATGCCCCAGGGTACGGAACAAAATGATTCCAAAGGTCCATTTAGCCCAGCACCCTGTCTTCCGTGGTCAATGCCAGATGCTCCAGAGGGAATGAACAATCATCAAGTGATCCCTCCTCTGTCACCCATTCCCAGCTTCTCACAAACAGAGGCTATCCTGCCCATCCTGATTAATGACCATTGATGGACTTACCCTCCATGAATTGATCTAGCTCCTTTTCGAACCCTGTTACAGTCTTGGACTTCACAACATCCTCTGGCAAGGAGTTCCACAGGTTGACTGTGCACTGTGTGAGGAAATACTGCCTTTGGATTGTTATAAACCTGCTGCCTGTTAATTTCCTTTGGTGACCCCTAATTCTTGTATTGTGGGAACAAGTAAAGAACTTTTCCTTATTCACTTTCTCCGCCCCAGTCATGATTTTAGTCAGGGAAGGGTTCTCAGCTCAGGGCTTCCAAAGGGAGACAAAAAACATGGGGTGTGTTCTGAGACACAGGGGAAGCTGTGGGTTAAAAGTGGCTGGGTTGATCTGCTGCCATATTGGACTGAGGCGTGTTGACTGCTCTGGAAAACTGCTCAGCAAGCCATGCCTTCTGGTCTACTGTGAACAGAGAAGTGTCCTGCCCCAGGGGGTCTGTGTGGTTCTTATAAGCCTCCTTCACCTCTTCTAGGACGTGCTGAACCCAGCTGTGGGGGCGGGGTTGGAGGAGCTGCCGGGTGAAAACTCGGAGGGAACCCCAAATCAGCGAAGGGGCTCTGACCTGGGAGCACGAACCGTGTGACATGGCCAAGCACAGTGGCCTAGGGCCCATGAGCGCCTGCTTTCAGCAAATCTCTCTAACGGCCAGAAGTGGGAGCTAGATGGGGCAGGCTCACCGCAGAGAATCTTTCACCATCTTTGGGATCAGGAAAGAACTTCCCGCGGATCAGCGGGGCAGAGGCCCTGGCCTCGTCTGCCCCCCTCTGCAGCGTGGCGTGAGGGTTGGGCGCTGGTTGGAAAGCAGAGGAAGCGGCGTCCGCGGCACGTGGAGTCTTTCAACCGAGGGGGGAGGGCGTCCGTCGCTTAACCAGAGCCTCGGGGGCTCTCACGGGGTGGGCGTGGGTTGTGTGGCCTGCGATGTGCAGGAGGCCCCAGGCAACCACGACGGTCCCTTCTGACCGCCACGGCTGGAGCGTGTCAGAGGTCTGTGCGCACGGCCCGTTTCCACGGTTCCCGCTGGCTCACCCTGTATTCGTGGGGGCCGGGATCAGGCCTTGGGCGCTGTGCGGGGCCAGGCTCCTGCCGGCCCAGTGTGCCTGTCCGTGCAGGCTTGGTGGCAGGGACACAGCGACACTGTGATTGAATTCGGTGTGTTCCCGCTGGCTCACCCTGTATTCGTGGGGGCCGGGATCAGGCCTTGGGCGCTGTGCGGGGCCAGGCTCCTGCCGGCCCAGTGTGCCTGTCCGTGCAGGCTTGGTGGCAGGGACACAGCGACACTGTGATTGAATTCGGTGTGGATGGCAGGGAGGGAGCCGGGCCCCCTCTTGGAGCGCGGGAGAGGAGCTCCCCCTGCCCCTCCCCCGCGGGAGAAGTCATGGCCAGGGAGCTCTCTGCGCAGAAGCCCACCTCCCGGGTAGGTTCACACAGTCATGTGGCTGGAGCACTTCATTACGGGAAGCCAATATAAACCCTGCTCCCCTCGCAGAGGGGAAGTCCTGACACAAAGGCGAAGAGTCTCTCCCAGCGAGCCCGGCCGAGCCCGCACGGTAAGCCCCGGGCCGTGTCCAAAGGGCTGGGAGGTGCCAAGTCTAGGGCAGGGGTGGGGAACCTCTTCTGGGTCAGGGGCCATGCAAACGTGAGACCCAACCTCCCCACATTTCCCTTGCACGCCAGCGCCTGGGGGGGCGGGCTAGGAGATTTTGTGGGCGCCCCTGGGCTCTGGGG